GTCTATTCTTCTCCAGGACAATTTTTTGGTTCATTTTTCAGTGTGCAGACGTCGGTTTTATTTTGTCATTGACGTTGTTTGTTATAACAACGACGGTGATTTCGCGTCGTGGTTTTACTTTGCAAAAGACGGCGATCGATTTTACGACGGTTTGAAAACCAAATTCACGACGGTGAATTCCCGTCGTCTTTTGCCTTTTTTGTAGTAGTGTTTGATTGGAAATTGGTTTAACTGGGGTTAATGAGATTATGGGATTTCCAGGGATTATTATTTATTTATTATTATTATTAAAGGGACTATGGTGATGTTGGATTTGGGATTCTGGATCCAAGGGATGGAAGGGCAAAGGCATTTGGTGTCCCCTCCAGTCAAGAATTTTGGCCCATAGGTTTGATCCTGTAGAATTTGACCCATTTTCTCATTGAGCGAAAGTTATGTTTATGAAATTGGATATATTTTGGGATATGGGATTTATATGGTTACACACCATTTGTTGTACCTTTCGCTGGTTCATTATGGAAAGAATGATGGAATTATTGAAAAGAATTAAAGTTGGTCTTTGGGACCCATCAGGGCACACATATATTTTTTGGGAGGTGTGTCAGGATGTTAGTCTACACGTATGACTGGATTCAGCCGCACGAGCGATGCAGGTCCCAACGTGCCTGTTGTGGAGCAATAGTCCCCTGATTGGACTGCTCATCCCTAGCCGCATGTATGATGTTGGATCCCGACATGTGGTTGAGACCAAACAATCCCAGAGTTGGATTGTTTCCCTTGGTACATATCTTGTTGTGGTGAATGTGTGTACATGTCTATATGTATATCTATATATGTATATGTATATGGGTATATGTGGATTATTTCCAGGTTGAGGTTTCTTGGGCATGTGCATTGAGAGTACTTTGCATAAGTATGAACATTTGAAATGAATTTCGGAATTGAGATGAGATATTTGGAAATTACTTGGCTTATTGTATTTTTACAAGGGTATAGTTGTGGAAAAAGAGATTTTGGGTTTACTTTGGTGGTGTTGAATTTACGGTTTTACAATAAGGATTAAATTAACAAGTTTACATTATTTTCTAAAATGGAGGGGTTATTTATGTTGAATATAAATGGTGCTTAACGCTTGTTTTTGTCCATTCACATTTTCTGTTTTGCGCCCCTCTGGTTCTAGATAGCTGAGGTCAAGACCACCACGTCGAGGCATCATTGATATCTGCTCCATAGGAGTGCTATTATCACTTTGTACACTTTATTTTTCCCAAGGTTGTAAACTTAATATTTAGTTGCTATGCTTGCTCATTTGAGTTTGGGTAGAGGGCATGAAGCCTATTTGAATAGTATTAACTGTTGTGCGTGCCTTTACTTTGTGCATTCTGGAAGTTGGGTTTATTCTAGCACTTGTTTGCAGGTAGTGTAATTAGGAAATGTTCCCATTACAGGGGAGTCTCTGCCGAAATTTCGGTAGAAGTTGTATTGTCTACAATTTAAATTGGGGCTAAAGGGCTTTTTGGTTAAGCGAGTCCATCATGGCTTAGATGTCAAATGGGAAGTAGAGTTTGTCACGGATTTCAAGGTAAAATTCGGGGTAGGTCCTGTCATAGGGGCCGAAAGTTAGAGCTCCTACAAGAGCAACATGCCTATCAAATCCAACAAGATAAGTGTTGAGCCTATTCTTAACAACTAAAATGAGTTATTAAAAATAGCAACTTTAATTCTCGCCAGTGCACGAGCCGTTTATAGTAAGCTTATGTAAATACGAGGTCGATCCCACGGAGAATGGTAACTTGGTTCCAAATTAAATTACTTAGAATTAATGCTGGAGAAACAAAAAATAAAGAAACAACTAACTAACTAAGGGCAAGGTCCAATTTCAACAATGCTCTTTTCTCAATGTAAACTCAAGGTCTAGGAAAAAATCCTAGCACCACACACGCACTCAAAATGGGGGGGTTTTGATGTTGAAATGATAACAAGAAATTGAAATGAAAATGCTAAAAAGAAAACACTGGCATCAATTAACAAGTTGTAAGAATGATTGAGAGGTGTTAGAGCCTTGGAATCCACCACTAGTTTTCCTAATCAAGTTATGAATGCATTGAAATTGACTCAAGCTTCATTACTAATAGATTATCGCATATAAGCCTATGGTATCTAGGTTAAGACGCATGATTCTCCTAAGGCATGTAATTGTGCATGGTATATACACAACACGTGATCTCTAATATGCAACCTAAGCATAACATCTACTTAGAATAAAGCATACAAGAGTCATTAAGCTCCTTGAGAATATGATAATCACACAAGTCCTAGAACATGGTATCTATCCTAGTCAACCCATGATTATTAACCCCTTGAATGATTCTTAGGCCATTCATGTGTTGCTTGTGAAAGGAGAGTAGAATTGGTGAATCTAAACCCCTTCCCAACCTATGCTAGATGCATAAAAATCCTAGTTAGCTACTCCAAGAAAACATACATCAAGCACATAATAAACTGGAGGTTAACAACTTGATAATGAAAGCAAGGAAATCAATTAACTATGAAATCATCCATAACATTAAATATTCATGACTAGGGCTTCATCCTAAGCCCTAACTGAATGGATTAGTTAGACATAACTCTGATTACATAAAATAAGAAATACATAGAGAGAATAAAGAGAAGAGAAGAACTAGATGGTGGCAGTAAGGTAGTTCCCAAGATTGCTCCAAGCTCTCATCCTCTACAACTAGCTCTCTTCCCTCTTTGTGGTGAATGATGGAATCTAAATATGTGTATGAGTAATGGATGAATGAGAGTGTGTACATTTTATGAATGAGTGTGCAACTCTATATTTATAGAGTGCCAAATTCGTTCTCCCCTTGGCGGTGTAGAACAGCCCACCTTAAATCTTGGAAACTGCTCCTTGTTTTGTGCAAACAAGTTTCCCCATAATTAAGCATATCTTGTTTGCTCCTTGAGACTTCCCTAGCTGAAATGCCTCCCTAATTTGCTCAATCTGTTAAGTCCAAAGTCAAGTACAGATAAGGCGAGGCACATGGCTCAAAGGGGATGTGGAACACAAGGCTCATCAGCTGGCAACTGCATATTAAAATCCTCATGAGCATAGTTCAGTGTTTGGTGGGCTACGAACTCCAAATATATCCCATGGGGCTACAATTTGGATATGTTATAATAGACACCCATTGGAACAACGTCCATGAAGGATGTTTCCTTATTCGAGCTGTGTAGGTCGCTGAAATAAGGCTTGCAAGGTGACCCACGAAACTGAACTAACAAGGGAGTGTAGCCCAAATTGGGTTTATAATAGACACCCATTGGAACAACGTCCATGAAGGATGTTTCCTTATTCGAGCTGTGTAGGTCGCTGAAATAAGGCTTGCAAGGTGACCCACGAAACTGAACTAACAAGGGATTGTCTTTAAACTTATATTCCTCTCATCCCAATCAGCCCTTAACATGCATGGATTGCATCAAATGTGATCTCTTTATGTTTTAACCTACAAAACACACAAAGAGGGGTAAATGACTCAAAATAAAGAGAAACTAAACAAAAACACTAAGTAAAGAAGACATGTAAAATGTATGAAATTATGAACTTGTCAATATGGAGGCCAATGAACAGAGGATAATGTCCATGGACCTATCCAAATTTACTCCAAGAAAGAAGAAGTACTGGGGGAATAAGCAAAACGAAATTATTGAGGCCCAGATGAATACAAGTTCCCCTTACTATCCAAAAGATAACTCTGGAGACTATTATCCAAGCCATCCACATAGTGGTTATTAATTTATGTTTATTTGTAATTGTTGTTTATCTTTATTTATAATTGTTGTTATCTTTATTTGTAATTGTTGTTTATCTTTATTTATAATTGTCGTTTATCTTTATTTGTAATTGTTATTTATCTTTATTTATAATTATTGTTTATCTTTATTTGTAATTGTCGTTTATTTTTCTATGATTAGTCTTTTTTTAATTTCAATGATAAACCACTTAATTCATTAAAATCACACAACCACTTTTATAATTTAAACATACTTTCATAATTTAAACACACTTACATAATTTAAACACACAACATAATTTAAACACACTTACATAATTTAAATACACAACATAATTCAAACACACAACGTAGCTCATTGCCCCTCTCCTTCGCATCTCCAAATGTGGTTGATCAAATCATTTCTTAAATTGTGATGCACTTGAGAAGCATGAACCCTATTATGATGGAACATGTAGTGTGAGATAGTTCGTCTATCTCGGTTTATATCGTACGTGATAGTTGGCTCAAGCTAGCAAGTCTTGCTCTTCTAGATGTTCGTGGACAATTATCATCATCATCAAATTCCTCGTACTCATCCTCAACAATTATGTTGTGCAATATTATGCACGTCATCATGATTGAATGAAATTGTTCTTTACGCCACATATGTGCAGGGCCCTTAACAATTGCCCATTGAGCCTGAAGTATTCCGAAGGTTTTTTTGACATCCTTCCTATAAGCCTTTTGTTTTTGGGCAAATAATCTTCTTCTTTTTTGGAGTATCCGGTTGGGAAATCGTCTTAACCAATGTGGCCAACGAAGGTAGATACCATCAGCCAAATAATAGCCCAGATTGTATTCATATCCATGTACAATATATTGGATATGGGGAGACACTCTATTGACTACATCATTGAACAATGGGGAACGAGCTAGGACGTTGATATCGTTGTTATATCCGGCAGCTCGAAAAAAGGCAGTGGGGTAGTTCCAAGTGTCACTGCCTCTAGAACATCAGTTGGCTTAAGCTTATAGCCGATAAACTGGTCAACCTAAGTAGTGAGGCAGTTCTTCCATTCCACAATGCATGTAGTCAAGACTACCTAACATGCTTGGGAATCCTCTGCGACTAGCTTGGGCAAGAGCCTGTAAAGGTCGGCTGGATTTGGGGAAACGGAGGTACCACTGGCCATTCACGGCTTCATTAACAAAACAAAACTTTCACAAACATTCAAGGGCTGTAGATTCACCCAATCTACAATACTCATCGGTGGAGTTTGTCGAGCCTTCATATGCTAGCATTCGAAAAACAGATATTAGCTTCTGCTCTGGGGATAGACTTTGTTGTCCACAAGCGTCTATCTTCTGGGTAAAGTATGGCTCATATGCAACAACATCATTCAAGATGCGATAGAAATGCTCTCTTCTCATGTGGAACCGCCTGCGAAAATTCATTGGGGGATGAAGTGGTCTTTCACAGAAGTAGTCCTCCATGAGACTCTTATGATGTTTTTCTCTCTTCCGATTCTTGTATTCATGGCCTACAATAGAACCACCATGTTTGGATTGTTGAGCATATTGCTCCAACAAAAACGTATGGTGTTGAACGGCCATTGCAACCCTCTGTTGATGATGGTCATCATCATCAGAATCATCATTGAAGAACTTTTGTATAGCCTTCTCACATGAATTCATTGTAAGAAGGAGAATGAGATTGAATGAGATTGAATGAGATTGTGTGGTCAATTGGGTAGAATAACGCTTCTTAAATAGAAAAGAGGATAAGATGGCCTATATGTTTGAAAATATTGAATGAAGATAGGAAAAGATAGGGAAAGATAAGGGAATCCAATAAAGTGAGATGGACAAAGATGAGCAATGGTTCAGAACATGATTGAAATAAAACAATATAAGAGATGGGAAATGGTTCAAAAAATTATTGAATGAAGATAGGGAAAGATAAAAGAATCTAATAAAGTGAGATGGACAAAGACGAGCAATGGTTCATAACATGATTGAAACAAGACAATAGGAGACGGGAAAGGTTCATAAAATAATTGAAGAACACAAGTGGAGGTGGGCAGGAGTTCAGAACATTATTGAATGAGGATAAAGGAATCCAATGAAGTAAAAGTAAAAGTAAAAAAACCAATATACCCATCCATTTTCCTATAAATATTTACTTACATATGCAACCTAGGTCCAGTTTGGGATTGCTGTCACTTTTAAAAAAAGTTGTTTCTGCTGTGCTTTAAAAATAATTAGCTGTAAAGTAAAGCAGCTCCATGTTTGGTAAACAATATTTTTAAAGTGCTGTTAGTACAAAAAGCAGTGCCAAACCGTTTGGTAAATTTTAATATAAAATTGTTGTAACTGTAAATAATGACTAAAATAGACAAGATGTTAAAAGTGTTGTGTACTAATCATGTGGTGGTAGTGGTAGTGATGGAGTGGAGGTGGTGGTGGGGATGGCGGTTGTGGAGGTGGTGGTGGTAGTGGCAGCATGGTGGTGGTGGTGGTGTTGGTTGTGGAGGTGGTGGTGGTGTTGGTTGTGGACGTGGTGGAGGTGGCGGATGTGGAGGTTTTGGAGGAGGTGGTGGTTGTGGTGGTAGTGACAGCATGGTGGTGGTGGTGGTGTTGATTGTGGAGGTGGTGGTGGATGTGGAGGTTTTGGATAAGGTGGTGGTTGTGGTGGTGGTAGTGGTAGTGATGGTGATTTGGAGGTGGAGGTGAAGGTGAAGGAGGTGATGGTGGAGATGGTGGAGGAGGAGGTGGTGGTGGAGGATGAGGAGGAGAAGGATGTGGTGGTTTTGGAGGAGGTGGTGGTTGTGGTGGTTGTGGTGGAGGTGGAGGTGGAGGTGGAGGAGGATGAGTGGCGGTGGTTGTGGAGGTAGTGAATGTGGTGGTGCAAGTGGTGGAGTTGGATGTGGAAGTGGAGGTGGTGTCATTTTTTAAAAAGAATAATGGTATTTTGGGAATTAAAAAAATTCATTAAAGGTTCATCTTTGCTTCTTTTGAAAGCAGCTTTGAAAAGCAACTCAGAGCTTGCTTTTAAAAGCTACTGTCAAAAAGCCATTGCTTTTAAAATAATCGGGATATTTAATTTTTACCAAACACCTTAAACTGCTTAACTTTAAAGTGAAGCAGATTTTTGACAAAAAAAAAGCAATCCCAAAATCAACCACACTAATGGAACCTAACAATTGAAGGGAGCATCATACATTTAATTGGGGATTCCTCATCCTAGGTGCAATCTACCTCCACCTCCTGTAATAATCAAAAAATGCATTGACCAAGTGTTTCTAGAGTCCGACTTCACTCAAAGTTCATAAATCCGAGCCCAGAAGCTATATCCAAATTCCAACACCAAGATCATCAAAAGGAAATCTGTAGTTCGTAAGCGTGGCAATGACACAATTCATTTAACGCAGGAAGAGTATAAAGAAAAAATGGAAGACAATTATGGCAATGGCTTCAATAAAGGGTTCGAATTATTCCGGGCATACGCAAAAGTAGCAGCTCCAGGGGCTATAGATTGAGATGATGTGACCGTATTGCAACTAACCAAATAAGTCATATGGTTCCATTATTTTTAATATAAATCGTGTGCTACTTGTTTTATTTGCAAAGTCCATGAAATAAAATGTTGTTGTACTTATTTTTATTTTTAAGTGAAATTCTATTATGTTTTGGATTTTTTTTTTAAGGTTAAAATGTTTAGAAAATTAAATCACGAAAGTTGAAACAAAAATAATGTCAAGAAAAATTAACGGCACAAAAAATTTAGGGGTTAATCATTTTTTTAAAATTTAATAAAGTTGTGGACTCAAATTATGAGTTTGCAAGGTTGGAGGAAAAAATCATTTGAGTCCTGAAAATACATGAATAGTTGTATTTTGAAGGGTGAAAATTTGAGTTTAGCCCCAACATGATTGGAGATGGCCTTACATCGATTTGTGCTCAATATCCTCATATAAAAAAAAAAAAAAAGGATTTGTGCTCAATATTTTATATATATATATATATATTAAAAGTATAACAAAGTGCTCAGTTCTATTAACCCCTCAATAAGGCATGGAAAACTTTAAACCGTGCCTAAAGCTCTCCGTGTTTACACGTTTCTTTTCTTTTTTCTCATTGTCACTCTCACTCCTCTCTCTCTCTCTCTCTCTCTCTCTCTCAACTCTCGATCCACCTCCTCCCTTCTCACTCAATCTCTCTATTTCACTCAGATCCTCCTCTCTTGCTCTCTCCAATCTCACTACATCTGGGATGAGTCCAACCAATGGTTTGATTTTTTTTGGGATTTTTGGATATGATCTTGTTTGATTTGGTTTGGGTATTTCTTATGGCAAGGACATTGAATTTCAGTTTGTAGGCTATTTTGATATCTTGAGAAAGTTGAATTTTGGTGTTTTCTCGGATGTGGGTTGCCTCTTTGCTCTGCCTTCCTCTCATCTGAATGTTGGGTATGCAAGTAAGCCTCCTCGTTCATGGGTAGTGAATATATGAATTTTGTTCAAAGGGATTTGGTGAATATTGTGAAGTCTCCGTAAGCTACCTTTACTTTAATTTTGAGTTCCATTAGCATACCCAAAAACTACAATGTAAAGCCAAGGAGCAAAAAATAAAATATATATGTGACCCTCATTAATGAGCTAAATCAGATCCACCAGTATGGTAGTCATTGAACACAATGTCTATAAATCTTAGATGTTGCCTTTTTCACCACTGTACTTGGTTCTTAAACAATGAATGGCCTTTTTGTTGTTATTTGAAAGGCTTTTAAATTTTTAATGTTTTATTTTGTTTAAATATTTGGTTGTTTTCTTTTATTTATTATGGGAGTTAAAATTGTTAAAATTTTCAGTTTTATTTTCCATTCATTGCCTTAATTTTTCTAGTTTAATGTGTCTGGAGGTTACGAGTGTTGGATACCTATAAAAGGCCACTCCTCCTTCACATTTGAACACATCACAATCTGACTTCTATAGTCTCATACTTTCATATATTCTCTATTTTCCATATTATTATTTTGGGCAACGGTTATGTGGCTTGGAGATTTCTATCCGACTGTGAACGTGCTCATAGCGGACCTTAAGCTTGCGTATTGGGGTCATATCTTGGAGTCTTGTAGACCGTCATTACCTGCACGTATGGAGGCTACAAAGGCTTTAGGATAGCATCTTTAACGTGCTTTCGCTATACTAGGCTTGCTTTCTTACTCTTGATTTATTTTATTTATTTACTTGTTTCTTTATTTTTATTTTACTGTTAAAGCTTTGTTTTATATATTATTTATATCTAAATGTTTGGATAAGAATTTTATAGAAAAGGAAAAATGCAATTTTTAATAACACTTTTTAGCCAATGAAGTTGGATTAGCGGCATAGAAAACACAAAAAAAAGAAAAAAGAAAAAAGACCTATCCAATCCCTAATTATGCCAAGAAATAAAACTGTTAAATTCCTCACTCTGCTATTTCTTTGAGAATTTTGTTATACTCAATATTTCGATATCAATTACATTTGCTTTTATATGATTTCTGATAATTTTTGGGCATCTTCGATTTTTTTTCACTGAATCTGATTGTATGCAATTCTGAAATGGGAAGATGAAGAAGATGTGGGGAATAGGAAGAAGAAAGCATATTTGGAGATTGGAAGATGCTATTGTCAGGAGGGACTTTATTGCAAATTGTGTGGGTTGTAATGCAAATTAGTAAAATACAGAGATACTCAGAGTTGTACAAAAGAATTATTGTAACAAAATTTATTTGTTTTTGGTATCTCAGTTTATTTTAATTTTTAAAGTTTGCATTTTAACCACATTTAGAGAATTTTGTGTCCATATTGAATAAAAAAAATTATATTATTTTCGTACTCTCAAAGAGCTGTTGTGAAGAGGTGGAGTTTTTGTGGGGCCCAACTACTATATAAGCACAAATACTTCATTCGTGCTCTAAATATCTGCCATGAAATAATAAATTTGTGCTCTATAATCAATGGAAACTCCTACAAAGAGCATCGACAACCTTAAAGTGGTTGCAGCGTGGCCAGCTTTATAGAACACGAATATCCGTGTTATTTAACATAAAGAGCATGAATGGAATTCGTGCTTTTAGCCCAGTTTTTAGTTTTTTTTAATAGTGATAGAATCTGCAATTCAAAAATAGGTGCCCATGAATGATTTGATTTCAAATTAGGGACGGGGTTAGGTGGCTGTTGGGTGGGTGTGCTGGCTATGGGGAGAAGCCACCGTGAGATTGGGGAAGAACCTCATGAATTTACTTGAATTAATAAAGGGTATTTTAGGACTAATGGTGGGTGAAAAGATAGGATTGTGTTTTTCCAAATTTACATAGTAGGTGGAAAGATAAGGTAGGTGAAGAAATAAGACAAGTGGGTGGAAATAGCAACACTCTAATTTGATTTCAAATTAGGGAAGGGGTTAGGTGGCTGTCGGGTGGGTGTGCTAGCTATGGGGAGAAGCCACCGTGAGATTGGGGAAGAGCCTCATGAATTTACTTGAATTAATAAAGGGTATTTTAGGACTAATGGTGGGTGAAAAAATAGGATTGTGTTTTTCAAAATTTACATAGTTGGTGGAAAGATAAGGTAGGTGAATAAATAAGACAGGTGGGTGGAAATAGCAACACTCTACATAATTGCAATACATAAGTCAAATTTGGCGTGGGCCCATATTGGCCCGTTTAGTAGACCGACACGAACATGACCCAATCCCATATGGGCTAGGGTCATGGACTCGGGCTGGAATTGATGATTTTCATAAATAGACGAGTCCAGCACGGCCTGTTTATTAAATGAGCCGACTCTAAACGGGCCGTGTTGGGCCGTTTGACACCTCTCTTGAAAGTTTACGTGGCAAATTGTGAAGAAAAAAAATATTGGCTGGTAATTGCATACACTTTGGGGTGGTATTTCTGCAAAACTTTCCTTCCCTGTTTGGTTCATGGGAAAGGAGACTTGGAGATGAGAAATCAATTGATTTCCCATGCTTGGTAAGTCTAGGCATGAGAAATGGTTGCCTGACACATGAGAAAGTAGGGGGAAAGTGAAACCCTCCTCTCCCCTTGGGTTTTGTTTTCCCTCCTCATGAAAAAGTTTGGGAAAATGAGCCAACATAAAATACACATTTTTCATGACCATTTTGTCTCCATTTAAAATTTAGAATTACAATATATATATATATAT